TATATATATATATATATATACCTTGCATGCATATCGAAAGCATGGTAACATCTGTGCGCATCCTTATAATCATGCACATGCTTATCTTCATACGCACATCTGCGTATGGCATATAGCGGCTAGTACACGTTAAGGAAGAGAGGGAAATGCAGCCCGTTTGAACACGAGGGAACCGTCTTGCTTTGGGAGGGGACCCACCAAAAGAACAAACCAGTGTGCATGGAAGAGATCTGCTTCCGTTTTTTTGCATTGATTAATCAGTCCGCGTCACACAGCCCTACTGCAACTACCTACACCCGGCCCTTCATTGGTCGTGCGGGAATGCATCCCCGTATCGTATATGCACTGACAATGCATGTAGAGCAAACAAGTTTACCAGATATCAGGACCGCAACATCGACTTCCCGTCCGTGCGCTCCCCCAGAGCAGAAATACTTCTGCATCGAGGAGGATAAGCCCCCTAAGGCTCGTATGTACATACCCAAGAATATGCATTCCCAAACTGAAGCCATTCATAGCAGAGTTCACAACACCATCCCGAACAAATCACCCAAATATGAGGATAAGAAATATGTCATTCAGGACTCGATGGGTATACACGAACCCGTATAGCCCGCAGTAAGATTCCCATCATTATCGATCTTTTTGATAACAGTCCGATGTCGAAGCACAGGCCCTTTCCGAGTGTCAATGTTTCAGTGTAGCTTAAAAACTTGACAATTCCCCGACGGAAGCGGATGGCCTTCCCTCCACATTTATGGCCCCTGGATACACGACGATTGCGAGGGGCTGGTGCAGAATGAAGGTGACCTGCCATGCCTTGAGAGGCTCAACTTACTGCAAATCCCGTTACAGGGCAACCCCACATTCAAGCGCATCCAAGCCCCGTCTGCGCGCAACCACCAACACCATCGAAAACTATTAATCACTTGATCGACCTCCCGTAACCAACCTGCATGTGAGTCGAAATACACATAACGCCAACTTCGAGTAGACCATGCATGTTACACACGGCAGCTGGGCACCGGACGCCTGGAGAGCGGCAGAAAAGCCAGGAGCTGTTAGAACCAATTGTTGTAGAAAGTGTTCTAGCAAGTTTGCAGCACGGAGCATTACAACCTAATAAAAGGATACAAAACAAAAACGGGCGAAACAAATATACAAGCCTTCAACAATATTGCTCCATTCGTCTATTTGCCCTCCCAAGCATGCGCCATTTCGGTGCACCTCTTCGCCGACGGCATGGTGTGTACAACTGGCTCAACGAGTGCTAGTAGCTGGTGTTAAAGGCAAAGGTGTCCCTTATTACGTTAAACAGATGCTGAAAAAACCTTTAAAAATAGAGCGAGATGCAGGAGAGAGCGAACAAGACACAGAGAGAGGCAAACCACACACGAGGGGCTGCTGCCGCTCAGCAGAGGCTGCGCCTCGATCTTGGCGCTTTCGTCAGGGTAGCCGTATCTGTTGGCTTGTAGTAGTTGAATTTATTATCGTAGTTTATTTGGAGGAGGAGTTTCAATTGTAATAGGACAAAGGAGAGCCTCCTCGAGTTGTGTGCCGCCAGGTCCAAGTCTGCGCACACGCCTGCGCCATCGCGGTCTATGCGTATTTTTGACGTTTTCTCCCCTCTCGTAGTCCCGTTCTTCTCTTCTTCCGAGCTCAACAACGAGATTTGAACCGAAATGCCTTCAGATAAATTGCCGGGAGCGGGTCCGGGGGCCCACAGGAACATCAACGCGCCTCCACTTCCACCCCAGCGTACGTAGGTTTCAAGGTCTAAGCTGTCGGCTTTAGACCTCTTTAGTCTCCTTGTTGAACTCCTCCTACTGCTCCTGTGTGCTGCGTCGAGCGTATACGTATCGCAAGTGGCTCTATCCCCACTAATGAAGGGACGCTTCCATTTTCTCCCGTCTCCTCCAGTTTTGCATTTCTGCCCGATTCTTCTTTTCCCAGCTTGAGTGAACAGATGCGTCTGCAGCATCATAACTAACTCCAGTGGCTGTGGCTGAGAAGGGTGCATACACTGTATTGCTTCACAAGCAGTTGTGCACGCCTTCTCTCTCGCATTGCTGCAACTGCTTTGTTGCGAGGTGTATGTGTCTGTCTCTGATCCAGGGTCCACTGCAGGGCAGCCGGGGGGCGTTGCTATACCTCATGGCGGAGCAGGTGGAGGCGGAGCAGGTGGAGGAGGAGGAGCAGCAGCTGCGGGGGTACCTGCGCATTTGCGTCGGGGACGTTCTCTGTTGGTGTTGACGCAAGACAATCAGTACAAACTGTCGGCTCCTCCAGCAGACCCACACGGTGCTCGTTCCCCGTCCCGCGATGCATGGCGACCGACAATTGCAGCGGGAGCTGCGACTTCTAGAAGTGCTGGGGACCGCGAGCTGGTGGCTGCTGCTCCGGGGGGCCAAGGGGGGCAACCTGGGCAGGGGGCCCCGCAGACAGGTCGGCAGCAGCCGGGGTCCAGGCCGGTGAAGCGGTTCAGCTTCCGTGCGGGTGTGGGACTATCGATTGATGCACGGAGTCGACAGCTTTCAAGGCGGCTGTCTTCCTTTGGAATGACGGAAGGGAATGTCTTCGGCAGCTTAGCAACAAATGCCCCTGCTGAGGCTCCCCCTTCTGTAGATGCTGTGCTGAAGGAGCAGGAGACGAACGGAAAAGTGCACCTTCACTCCGCCGACCTCTTCGAAAGGGTCTGTATTTTCTCATGTGTCCCATCCCCTAAATTAGCTTTTGTTCCATGAATTCTTTTCCCCTCGTGTCATTCAGTTGCAGCGTGGCTCGTGCGGAGTCATGTTACCTCCCTAGCTCTGTGCTTTTGCATCTACCTGGGCGACTCCTAACTAGAGAGGCCCAGCTTCAAACCATTCTTCGTCGCGTGTATGTTCACTACGTTCATGTGTCTTCGTTTTGCCTTTCGTTTGGATTCTTGCGATGATTGTGCCACCGCCTCTGGTTGGCGGTGTGGGTTGTAGGGTCTGTACCAGCCCTTGTTCAGCTTTGGGATTTGCGTGTGTTGTTGGTGACGACGTGCCTTGCAGTCTTCTCCCTTACAACGCCTGCGGCGCGCGTGGAGGTGTACGCTGCCATCAGCTTTGGAGAGCACGCAGCTGCGGCTGGTTGAAACGGATTGTCCAGTAGAGCATCCGTCGCTGAAGCAGACACCGGAGGTGCAGGAGCAACTGCGGGGGTTCTTCCCTGCCACGTTTGGGAAAAAGTACGTGGAGGTGGTGCCAGGCATGGGCAGCGGGGCTGCCTCCCCAAAGGAGCCGCTTGATCACCCTCTCTCAAAGGCGCTAAGAATTGGCATCGTCTTAAGCGGAGGCCCTGCCCCGGGAGGCCACAACGTCATCGCCGGGTTATACGATTTCGTCAAGCAAAAACATCCTGAATCAATGCTCGTTGGGTTCATGGGCGGGCTTGATGGTGTTATGAACCAAAATTACACGGTAAATCCGAGAATCCTATGATACTCTCCACACCAACCCTGAACTTGGCAGTCGCAGCCCCAACTAAAATTAGAGGATTAGAAGACGCTAGCCTGCATGATGAGAAGACGGCACAATGGTGTAAAAGCCGGGATCCCTCTTTATGCTTCTTCTATTTGTATATCTGCTTATGCCGGCCACGTTCTCGTTGAGAATATGATAAATATGGAGTGGCTCTGCTAAAGTACTAGAGCAAGCTGTTGCACTGCGCTTCCCAATCAACGGTAGAAGGGCATGATTATTAGTTCAACTTGTATGAGGTGTTCCTCGTACGACATTTGCCACAGTCACGTGCTCCGCTATGAGAAAAAGTTTGTTTGCAACTGCACGCTTAATTGATAGTGTACGCGCTGCTTACCCCACACTATTACTGGAGTAAAGCATGCAAACAAATGACGCTACGAAACATAACTCAGACTTTGCTGGGGCCAAACAGGCTTCATTCGGCAACGGGAGACCCCGAGCTCCAGAGCCGAAAGTAAACCTGCCTGTTGTTGATTAATTTGTGGGTTTGTTTTGGTTGCTTGTTCATTTGTATTTACCTCGTCTTATAATTCGTGCTTATATGCATCATCCACCGTGTCTGTGGCCGTTGTGTTAGGTGGTAACTGAGGAGTTAATGGAGGACTTCAGGAACCAGGGCGGCTTTGACATGCTGTGGTCTGGCCGAGGTCGCGTTGGGGGCGAAGAGGATATTCAGCGCGCCAGGGAGGTGCGCTCTTAAGCAAAGATGCATGTCACACACACAGGCGCTTCTGCAGTGTGTAGGAATATGCTGCGCACTTGTCATACCGTTTAATTGGAGTGAAATAGAGGCATACAGGCTTGCGCACAGTGTGAGACGGCCTCAAATGCACGCACCATATTCGGTCGAATTTGTCGGTGACGGCGTTTATGTATTCTTCGATGGCGTTTACTACAGACTTTGTGTGTATTATGGCTCATGCCCCTGGTCTCGTCGCTTGCATTGCTGGTTTCGTTGTGCAGGTGTGCGAGTCTCTGGAGCTGCACGGCTTTGTTCTTGTGGGGGGTGACGGGTCGAATAGCAACGCGGCGTTGCTGGCAGAGTCGTTTGAGAAAGATTTGCCTAGCTGCTGCGTGATTGGGGTGCCCAAGACGATTGACGGGGACCTCAAAAATGCGTTGATTGAGGCTTCCTTTGGGTTTGACACGGCAGCGAAGACGTACTCGGAGCTCATTGGGAATTTATGCATTGATGTGAACAGCTCACAGAAAGTTTACCACTTTGTGCGGGTTATGGGGCGCAGCGCGTCGCATCTCGTCGTGGAGTGCGCAATGCAAACCCGTCCAAATTTGGTCTTCATTGGGGAAGAAGTGGAAAGAGAAAATATGTCCCTTGAACACATTGTTCAGGAACTGGTGAACCTCGTTGTCAAACGTGCAGAACAGGGCAAGATGTATGGCGTCATCCTTGTTCCTGAAGGTCTTATTGAATTTATTCCAGAGATGAAACAACTTATCAAAGAACTCAATAGCGTTCTCAAAGCTGGACAGGTGGGTATATATCGCCTTCCTGTTGTCGCTCTGCACTGGATACCTCGTCTGCTCAGCAACGAGTGCCAAGGGTACCGGGTAGTATTCGTATTGCCGTGCTGTTTAGCTGAACGCAAACAACGATGCTGTTTCTTGAGACACATATCGGGGTTTTCGCCTTATCCTTTGCACAAGTTTGGCACCGAACGCATCATTGTGTTATCGGACGAGATAGAGTGCTGCTATGTGCCTCCTCAGCCCTTCAAGCCAGAGCTGCTGAAGACAACACGCGCTGTTTGGGATTTCCTGCCTGATGTCATTCAAGACCAACTACTCATGGACAGAGAAAGCACGGGATATATTCAGGTGCGCTTGCTAGAGGTCTGAAAGTTCGGGTTTGTTTCACGTCACCTTTAGACCAGCTTGTAGGCATCATTCTTCATAGGGCAACAAATGGCCATTTGAGATAGGGTTCGGCTTAAAGTAGACGTTGGAAGTCAACAGTTGGATGTGAGAAGAACTTTTGCCTGATACCATTAGAGCTTCGGGTGCAGCCTTCCATAGTCATTAGGAAAAATAGCTGTAGTGTCCACGAGTGGTTGTTGCATTGTGGATATAGTGGTGCGCATGGGGGCCTCTAATGTGGTCTTTGGTCCATGAGGACTCGGTTTACCACTTTTGTATTAAATCAGCAACATCGTAGGCACCTGAGGGTCCCCATGATTGAAGTAGTGCTCTGGTGTACTGTTTTGTGGACGGGGGGCTGTAGGTGAACAGTCAGGCAGACCGTTGGAACTTTGCAGGGGAAAATGATTAGAACATGCCTGCTTGGTTGTTATCATGGACGATAACATGATAGGTGGCCTGCATACTGTAATGCATTTGGGGGACTCCGAGTGTAGAGTTTGCATGCTTGTTTTGTGGCGCCGTTTGCGCAGGTCGCGAAGATAGCAACCGAGAGGCTGCTGATTTTGCTGCTGGAAAATGAACTGGCGAAGCAGGGCAAGGATCCAGAGCAATGGAGTTTCATGCCACACTACTTTGGCTACGAAGGCCGCTGCGCCATGCCCTCTAACTTTGATGCAAATTACTGTTACTCTCTTGGCTTCGTCGCAGGTGCGTATTGGATGCCTTTAGCGAAAACGGTCGAAACAGGACTGGGATAGACAGTGTTTCAGCGCATAAGTGGTGCTAGAACTCGCTCGTGAAGGATGCTTGCTGCTGCATGTAAACGCTTTTGCCGGCTCGGCCTGCGGATCGTTTCTCGAGTCAGGTGCACTTGTTGACAACAGAAGAAACGGATACATGTCTGTGGTGCGGAATCTGGACCAACATCCAACACTTTGGACACCAGCAGGTATGTAACAGTTCACGCTAAACTGTTCCCTGAAGCATCCTTTCCCCACCCAATACCGAGAACAGGCATACAGTGAAGTTTGCTGTACATTACCTTTTGCTTGTAGTTGGCAACTGAATGAAGGAAATGTGTAGTATATGTTATGCTGGCTCTGCATGTGCGTACAAGTGGCCTTGCTTTTGTGATCGGAATTCTGCAGGTGTTCCTTTCACGACAATGATGTGCGTCAAGGAGGACGCCAAAGGGGTCGCCTTCCCTGCCATCACGCGGTCCCTAGTGGACCTTGACGGGCCTCTCTTCAAAGTTTTCTGCGAGGTACCTTTGCTTCAGCGACACCAGAATAGCAGCCCAAAGAGTGTTCCACAGTTTTCGCAGTTCGCGCTTCGTGGCTGTAGCAGAGGACAGGCTCGTTCCTCACATCTAGTAATACGAGTGAAGTGCCATGCTATAGTATTTCATGCGTTATGCTTTAGTCCTGTTCAAATTTGTAATTACTGAATTTAGAAACCTTATTAATAATGAAATATTTGATACCTTTGTGCCACGTACGCACGACTGCTCAATGGCGGCTCCCTTGTGCTGGGACTACCTTTAGCATTGGAGAAACCTGCGCCTAGCCAAACGTAGTTTCATCTTCTGTGGTTCTATAGTGTTTACGAGTATTGGGATGTGTGTGTTTGAACACTGCGAACTGTGGGTTTAGGCTCGTGAACACTGGAAGTTTGGCGACTACTATCGCGTACCAGGACCTATTCAGTTTGAAGGACCTACTGCTGACGAACCTGCGTACGCAGTTTCAATACCAACTAAAGAGGAACTCCTACACCAGTCCGAGGCTATTTATCATGTTGGGGTGAGTCTGGCTGCTGGATAGGGTAACATATGCTTACTCTACTGGAGCTGAAGACATCCGGCCGGCTGACTTCTGTTACAACAGAACGTCTGGGCACTTCATTTCATTTGTGTATAAGACTCATTCACCGTCATGGGGTGCGGATGCCAATGTGGGGGGCCCAGTTTGTATGCGCGCTGGAGGGGTGTGTGTGTATCTAGGTCGGCGGGAGGGTGGTCAAGAGCTTCGGATTTCTCAGCGCATTGCAGCGTGAACGATTGACACATCGGCCGCCAGTGCCCCCGCTGTGTCTGGATCCGAAGTGCAAGGCAAGGCCAATGAAACAGGTTCTGTGCAAGGACCCTTACACCCAGCGTCAGGTGTTAATGCACTATCCGTACTTGGCGAACAATACCCTGTTCTACCTTCATGAAGTGGCACACGATAAGTACACTCCACCCATCAACTACGGCCTTCGCGTTGGATTCGTTTTGTTGTCAAGACAAAGCCCTGGGGTGATGAATGTTCTCTGGGGTTTGCACGAACGGCTGAAGATGGTGCAGGGGAAGTGTCTAGCCTTCTTTGGGCTGACGGGTTTGATTGAGAAGAATTACATTGAAATTACGGATGAGAATCTTGAACTTTTCCTGAACCAGGGTGGCTGCGAGCTTACGGGACGCAGCACCTCTCACTGCTTGGGGTCGGTTGAAAACCAGGAGGCCGTGAGACAGCGTTGCGAAGAGCTGATGTTGGATGGGTTAGTTATGCCTGGGTCGGCATTCGCTATGTCCGAGGCTGCGCTGGTTGCAGAATACTTCCTGGCCCGTCAGTGCCGCACTTCCATTATTGGAATTCCTGCAACAGGCAGCAACAACTTAGCTGGCGAGTTTATCGAAACCTGCGTCGGCTTCGACAGCAGCACGAAAGTGTATGCGGCCCTCATAGGCAACGTCCTCACGGATGCCGCCTCTATGCCAAAATACTGGCACTTTATCAGGCTTATGGGAAGGCAGCCTTCATTTGAGGTGTGCATCCCCATTCGATGCTTAACGCGTGCACTTCAGTGTCAGCCAGTAAAGCATTGAAGCGCCTATTGGTGGTTTCTGGAACCTCGGTGGCGTTGTGCTTGTGGTGTTGCTGGGGGGTATTAATCTTGTCAGGTGTTGGAATGCGCGCTTCAAACACATCCGAACGTGGTTATCATAGCAGAGGAATATGGAGCTGCTGACAAGACGCTTTTGCACGTCGTACAGGTCTGTGAACGCTGACACCCGCAGCAGAACATACCAAAGTGAAATCCGCCAGAACAGGTTGGTGAAGGGACCGCACAGCTGCTTCTCTTCCACAAATTGGGAACATATGCGTTCAGGACATTGCAGACGTCGTCTGCCGTCGTGCGGAGTTAGGAAGAAACTTCGGGACGGTCTTAATTCCAGACGCGCTTTTGATGCACTTGCCCAACATGAAGATTCTGTTGGCGGAACTCCGGAGAATCATCAGAGAGGCACAAGCAAAGGGAGAGATGAAGAAGGCCCAGGTACTGCTTCAAGCTAGGTAGCTAGGCAATTGCTTGTCCGGGTTTTGGACTTTAGCAGCCCTTCGGAGGCACTAGCCCTACTCACGCGGTCTTAGGTGACCACAAAGCCAGCATCTAGAGGACATAACGCACGGTCTAGCAGCCAGTGCAACACTGATCAATGTTTACACTACCGAACTGTATCATAGAGGCGGTATATGCAGCTGTGCACCGACTAAATCTGAAAAATGGCTCCCTCATTCCGCTGTTCTGCCAGTCTGTTAATGCGAATACAGCAACAACTGATGGACGTGGATAGTTGGGCATCTAACGAACCTGACAGCTGGAATTGGCGACTAACACCGTGGAGCGCTGCCCTGTTCAAGACTTTCCCGAAATTCATCCGCAGAGAACTGGTTCAAGTGGACATGGGGGAGGTTAGTACTAGGCGAGAATGTACCTTCCGCAACGGCTGTTTTTGTGGCGGCGGGGAGGGGAGAGCGGATGGCTCCCAATTCTGTTCTTTTCTCATATGCATTTTCTCAGATTCGTTTTGAACGACTAGAGACGGAGGAGTTGCTGGCTCAGATGGTTAAGGAAGAATTGGAATACAGGGCCTCCATAGGGCGATATTGTGGCAAGTTCCAGGCGGTGACGCACTTCTTCGGCTACCAAGGACGGTCTTCAATGCCCTCGACGTTCGATGCAAATCTGGCATACGCTTATGGGTGCGTGGAGAAAGGATTGTTTAGTGGGTAGTATGTTTAGTGCGAAGAGCGGTGGTATTGCTGTAGGCAGCAGCCTGGTTGGCCGCCCACTGGTTGGATAGTATCAAGGCATACAGTTACGAGGGAGCAGCTAATGGCGTTAGACCGAAGTGATCGCACGACGCGTTCCAGATCATTCGTCATCAACGAGCCTAGCGAGTTTGGCAGATGTGCGGTGTTTTGCGCATGCAGGAACCTGGCATCAATTTTAGTAGAGTCGGGCGTGACGGGTCACTGCTGCAGCATCCGCGGGCTATGTGGCAATCCAAAAGAATGGCATTTAGGCTCTGTGCCCTTCGTGTCGCTAATGCGGCTGGTGCCTAATGTCCAAGACAATCCAACTTTGACTGCCGCGACACAGAAAACGGGCACATCGGCTGCAGATGGAGTGGTGGACCGCACTTCAAGGACCCCAAGTGTTACTGAACAGCCAGTTATTCCGAGCTCCGAAGTTAGCCTTGACGGCAAGGCTTACAGGTACACCTAGAACAGCCGTAGATGCAACTGGGTGTAATTGATAACAGCCGTGGAAACACAAACGTTCGGTATTAGTCTCACTCGTTGAGGGAAGGAAGTTCCGTGGCAGCAGCAACCTATCCCCGGTTACTTTGTACGGAGCAGAGGTTTCTGCAGCGATTTAGCAAGCGAGTGTACGCATGCGGGCTCTGCGCAGGTGGATGAAGACCGCGTTGGAACAGTGGATGATGGAAGACCGGTTCTGCAATCCTGGGCCCATCCAATTTTATGGTGCGTAACCTGACCTGCAGCGCCTGACCCCAAGTGGCGTCTTAGAATTTAATGACGTAGATATTTCTGTGGCTGGGTGTTGCACACCCGCGGGATTGTTCCAGAGAATAGTTGGGCGACACAGCAAACACATTGCGACATTTAAGACGTGAAGTCATCTTGTTGACACTTTTCATGCCGTGGCGTCCTTACACGGTGTGTTAGACAACACGTCTGCTAGACGACACAACATTTGGTATTTCGGTGCATGCTGTTCCACTGTATAGTCAGACTAAAAGGAAGATGCTGCATATAGGGTCTCTGTGCTGGGTATGGTTGATTTTACTTGCGAGCAGGTGTCGGGTCCACCTTCTTTAACCGGGTGCTGTATGAGGAGCAAGCAGAGTACTTTGACATGGTTCGGCGTGTCGAGTGTTACACCAATATCCTGCGAAACACGTGCAGTTTTGGAGTGTCCGACCACATCCTAAAGCATGCTTTCGTCTCTCTTACAGGGTTGCTCATGTTAGTCTTCCACTCAGATGAGCTAACAACGCGTATGCCGGCCTTAGGACAGAGCGATGAAACAGACTTCACGGATGTCGAGCCCGCGGCACTTCGCAAGACAACATGGAGAGACCAAGGAGGCCAGCTGGGGCGGCCTTCGTCAGCTTCGAAGCCCCAGGGAAACTGAACTTTCCTATCTCCAGGGTAATCAAATACAGTCCCAAAATTTCTTATGGGTGTCCAGACACCTTTTGCATCTTTGCCGAACAGCGACTGGTCTCGTGCGTAGTCTAGTGTGCTATGCATGGCCTGGTGCCATGGCGCAGTGCGCTATACACAAGTTTGTTTTTACAGAGAGATTTCACCCCATCACGGTGATTTCGTAACCGCCCTTCCATCCCATTGCTTGCTAAGCTGCTAGTAGTTAGTCATGGGGAAGCATGCAGGTGGCGTTGTGGCAACCCTTTAAGCCTGATGCAACAACGTACGCGATAGCAACTCTTAGTCGCTAGATTAACTCAGCACTGCTGGAGAGCAGATATGCTTCGCGGAAAGAAGTAGCAACGACTTGGCCTACCGCCTGAAGCTGGTGTTTCGATTCACGCATTTCCCTCATTGTAGGCGGCAACACTAGAGAAAACCTGTCAAGAGAAAACGAGTCGCAACTACAGAGCAAACCGCCCTGGATGCGACTCTTTACTCATCAAACTCCCGTTCTCTCTACGCACTGTGGTAGCCAAGCAAGTGCTGGCATACAGTGTCTCTCAGTTGCACACAATCGGTGCAAACGGCACCGACGGCGCGTGATAATAGAGGCTATCTGTATTTCAGCAGCCGAAGGCCAAGCCGAAAGCTAGGGACAACGTCATGAGTGCTAGTTAGCTTGAAGCAGTGAGCTGGTCCTGCTTACCTTTTCGCGCGCCTTCAACAGCAGGTCGGCGACGACTCGGAAGGCGTTTTCGTCGTTGCTGACTGTTGTATACTTTGCAGCGTCTTTCGCTGCTGGGCATGCGTTCGCTACTGCAACGGAGACCCCCGCCAATCCCAACACTTGTATGTCGTTTTCGCCGTCTCCCATCGCCAACAGTTGACTCGGAGTCAGGTTCAGGTGCGTCAAAAGCACCTGGGCGCCCACCGCTTTCGAAACATTCGGGTTTATAAATTCGAGATTCCAGTCGAGGGGGCGTACGCAGCGCAGTTGCTGACCCACAGCCTTCTCCAGGATGGGTCGCGCCTTATCTGTGGACTCGGGGGTCCCGCAAGCCACCAATTTCACGAACCTCGTTGCGGCGAACTCTTCGTAAGACAGCACTTCCGGGGCGGGCTCTTTGTACACGACGTGGCTCTTATCAGTTTTGTCGTTCCGCTCGATGCAGAGGACACGGTCGGCGGTATATCCCAAGATGTTTTGCAGGATCCCCATTTCTTTCATCTTGTCCAGCAACACTGCCTGAGCGGGAAGGGGTATTTCGGTACATGAGAGGATTTTTCCGTCCTGCCCATACACCACGCCTCCATTTAGGAATACTCCAGGAAACCCATTGTACTTCATCAGCTCTTTGTAAGCTGGAGAGAGACAAGAGAGTGTTCCCCCTCTAGAGCGCCCACTGGCAATAGCCGCTATGACACCTGCTGCCGCGACTTCGCCGAAAGCCGCCGCATTTGCCTCAGACACATTATGGTTAGAATCAAGGAAGGTGTAATCGAAGTCTGATAAAATGAGTTTTACCTCCTCGAGGTCAGAGCAGGTTGAGATATCCATGGCCATTTGCACACGGTGTCGAACAACTGTGGAAGGCTGACAACGCTGAGGACGACACTAAAAAATTCCTGGGCTAATTTGGAATCCACCTTTCAATCGAAAAAATGCCATTTAAATGTTGAACAAAAATATTCTGAAGATGAGGAACCAGCGTGGTACCGCTGGAAGTAGCAATGTGTTCTGCTCACTGCCACAGCCTAGTGGGGGGTTATAATCTGTCATCCTCTGCCAATCTGAGGCGAATCCGCCCTTCGTCTCAAGATACCCCCACAACAAGGTCGTTGGTTTATATTTTATTTTTTTGCATGCATTTGAACAAGCAGATCCTGTTTGCGCTAGCTCTGTAATTGTGCTCAGATACAGGCGGGAGGTCTGCCCTTGGCAGCACCGCCGTAACCGATTCGGCTCCACACCTGCTAAATTTGCAGCAAAAGATAGCCTGAGTTTGCACGTATTTCAGAAATCGCCTCTTTTGGAAGTACAAGTGTAACAGGCGGATCGATGCTGCTGTGAGGACGTTGCGCCCAAATGGCTGGATGAAACAGCATTTTGGCTCCCAAGATAGAAAGAAGAGGTTGTACAGGAAAACCTGGAGCGTTTGATGCTTGCTGAATTTCTGCTTAATAGCACACTAACCGGACGGTCTCATAGTCAGCAGTCTTGGCCTGCAAGGGCTCGTCGCGCACGACATAACAACAGAAAAAGACTGCGATAATTGGTGGATTTCGATTATTCTCGCAATATTCCCTGCATAGAGGGGACCTGCAGCCGAGTGCCGAGTGCAGAGAGATGAGGAGCTCTTGAGTTTCTTCTTTCGAGTGAAATCTCGTGAGGTCGTCCAAAAATTTCCAGAGGGCAAAGCCAACGGGATTCGAAGGCACGAACATGGTTGCAACAGCGGAGACGCCGCTGAACATATTCTTGCAAAACCCAAAGTGGTGGCCCCCAAAGAACGCGAGGACCCCATGCGGATCACCTGAAGTATCCACACAGTGCAGTGCACGAGAGGCTTCACAAGATCGCATCCAGCAGTTGCAAACCATTCTCTCTGAAGCTTCCTTTGAGGCAGTTGGCCTGGAAGCGACTGCGGAAAGCACGCTGAGGGATGGCAATAGAGACTTTTCGTTTGAAGCTGCTTTTGGCAACGATGATCACCTTAGGCTCCAGCGAGTCAAAGATGTTCCTCCTTGTTTTGCCCCTTTTACTCGCTTCAACTGCAACGTGACTCTAGTTGCGCAGAAGTTCTTCAACTCAGCCATGGGCGCCACAGTCCTTTGTAGCGGAACTGCGGCTGTTCAAGAAAGCTGTGCGCGACAAATGTTGAAGCACGCGAAGCCTGGAGAAGTCGTCTACGTCCGGCATGTCATGCTTACTGCCCCAAAGTGTACTAACCAGCAGCCCTTTTCTTATGGCTTCCTGGTGGCCCGCCTTGGCTGCCTTCCCCAGGAGGTCCGCAGTCTCGTGCAGTCAGAAAGAATGCCATTTGGGGCCATTCTAGACCGCTATGGAATCCGACGCTCCGTGGAGACGGATAGCCAGTTGCATGCGCATCTGAACAGCAATTTCTTCTGCGTAGGCGATCATTTGCCTAATGGTGAAAAGCATTGTTACACATCCCAGAAGGCTGAAGGGAAGGGGCTGCAAGGGGAGAACCTTACGCGTTTCCGTCTCAAGACTTCAGGGGACTGTCAATGCAAAGTTTTGCCTGAAGGGTCAAGCTGCACGTTCGGGCGCTTGACAACTGTTTGGTGCAATGGGCAGCCTGCGGCGCGGGTCGTTGAACTCCTCAACGAACGATTTGTGTTGCTTTCCCTTATTCTGGCAGAAAAGGAACACAAACAGATGGTTGAGGCTGAGAATACCGAAGTCCCACATTTAGCAGAGGCTACGAATAGCTCCATTGGCGCCTCTTTTCAATCTCGTCTGGCGTTCCTGAAAGGACGGTGTCTAATGTCTGTTGCACTCTGTCCCGTACACTACAAACTACTCCCCAGGCCCCATGTGAATCAAGAAAGTCTTATGCTGCAGAAGATCCCAAACGAGGGGTGTCGTCTCTGTGGAAGCAAAAGCTGCTCCACGGATTTCCACTCGGTGTACACTGCAGACCTGCAGTGAAGTAGGCTATTTCCATGGAGAGTTCTGGCATTCATACCCTTATCTGCAAGGATAAGCATGCAGAATACCCATATTCATGACAGTAGATTGCGCATCGGTCACGTTACGCAGCTTGGCTAAGCTACTGAGACTTAGGTGACCGAACAGCCAATGCTTTCCAATGAAAATTCCGAGCGGTGCCAACTGTGGGCGCATGCGATGCCTTGCTCGCATGTAACATAGCTGATCAAATATAGCGGCAACTTCGGCAGCTCAGTTGCTTGGAAATCACTCTCTGAGAGCTAGCGACACAGGGACAGGCAACATCAGGTGTATCAGGTGTCTTGTACTTAGTCCTGCTTCCCAGCGCCATGGGAATTTTGAGGGTTTGTGATGTAGAAGTATTTAGAAACTTATTTGACTCACGCTATCGAGGTGGTCGTTCGTATGTATTTATGTGGCAGCAATCATGTTTAATGGTTTCGTCGTGATCTGGTCCTGGTTTCCTGCTGGGGTCTTACTGTTACTACCGAGGTTCTATTGTATTTAGAGCTATACTGCTCAGAAACTTTGCAAGCAAACTTATAAACTATCATGCATTTGACAATACACGGCCACAAACGCGATTCGGGATGTGTCTGCGATAGTTCAGCACGGGAACCAGTGTAGAGCTTAGTTGTGTTGCATAATATATCCTCTACTTATCGGCCACGCCACCGTTCTAGCATGATAAAGTGGTTTAGTTTCTTATATTTGGCCTCAGAGTGTCATGCATTCAGGTTGTTGTAGTCTACGTTGATCAGAAAGTGTGGCTTATCTAGCTGGTTGTGGAGGCCCCGTGCGATGCAACTTGATTAAAATAGGTATACGATGGAAACATCTACCAATGTTGTCATACTTTTGAAAGGTTAACAAAATAATTATGCTTTTGATGAAGTCCCTATTGTGAAATGGAGATAACCGCCCCTGTGCGCTGTGACCAAACCGAACCGAACCACAGCGACAGCTACGATTACCCCCGCCACACGACTTGAACTGTTCCTTGGCAATTTCAGAAGCAAGTGTCGTTATTTTCCAGCGGGTTTTTTCAATAAGAATTATTTTCCATTGTTTTCTGGTTGTCGCGCCGGATCATGAAGCATCAGTGGCCCCCATCCCGAGTAGGTCCACAGCAGGTCCTCGACTGTTGAAGTTGCAGCAGTTACTGCTGCTGTAGTATCTTGTGAAATGCTTCTTAGTTTTGGCATGCCGCATGATTAGGCAGCAGACTAAGTGTTGGGGGTGGCATTAGGTGTGTTGTGAGTTTCCACACACTGAACGAGCTCGATCTATGCGCCAGTCCGAAGACTTCTTCAAAAATCCTGCACCAATGAGTTCATCGCAAGAGGGGCAGGTCAATCGAAACAGCGGCCAAGAACCTTCAGAGGGCGTTACAAGCCAGCGGAGGGGCAGCCTGGTTTCCGTCTCCGATTTGCCCCCCTTGGCCGGACACACAGGATATGAGGTAAATTCAGGCGATGTAAGCAACTTCGAGGCAAAGCGGGGAGGCGAGTCCGAAGGGCATACGGAGAACCCGAAAGTTGATTGGCCAAGAGGACACCCAAGTAGCGCAATATCTCGCATTGGCTATATAGGTGAAATAAATGAAGCTTCCAGAGCCACGCCCGGTGAAATGAGTCTTGCAAAACTAAAGTGCACGCCTGCTGACCTTATCGCTAGGCCTCATACTCGAACTGCTGCTTCAAGTCCTTTGGCATCTCCACGGGATACTAAGGGAAGCCGAGTGATGTCTCGCCAACGTATTCAGCAGATGCACCTCGCTGTGCCGACTTCAGTGTAAGTGACTTCCCCTGACAGTGGTCTGTGGCTTTGCGCCGTAGTACCTGCCTATGATGGGTGGGTTGCTAGGCTTGAAGCTTGCGTCTGATGCGATGACATGCTTCAGGGGCCACATCCGGCCTAGAGCGAAGCCAGTAGAGTCTCCTAGGGAGGCAACCGCCTCTCCCTTAAGTGCACGATCAAGACCTTCATCCATTAGCACGACACTTCAAGACTCCCGCCAGAGGCCGCTAAGTGGATCCTCTACTCCTTACGTGCTTCGCCGAAAGGGATCTTTGGCCAACATGCCCGGCCAATCAGTGGAAGCTGAACAGGACATCGGTGTCGTCTCAGAAAGCCTAGGTACCACAGAAATTTTACAGGAAAATGCCGGTCGTGAGCCGAAAACCGTTAAAGCGCAGCAGCTTAATTTGTTTGACCAAAGACACTCGGTGGACTTATTGGACTGCCCTGAAGCATCAGGAGCCCCAAAGAGTGAGGGAATCCTTCGTTCAGCGAACTACACAACTGGAAGTGGAACGAAAACCACAGGTGCTGCAGAAGGTGGAGGTAAAGCTCGCCCTGCTCCTCCAGCGCGGGCAACCGCCATGCAGAAGGCCGTCGCCGAAGTCTTCGCTGCTGAAAATGAGAGGAGAGCGGCTGCCTTGGCCTCGAGGATTAGCTCTCGGACAATATCACGCGCAGAAGGCCCAGCAGAGTTGAGGGGCTTTGAGCAGAGGTCAGATGTTGCACTGGCAGCTGCTGAGCAGCTGCGACGAATGGAGGCAGCTGCGGTCTCTAATGGAATTCAGAGTCTCACGTCCGAGCCGCCGAAGGTGAGGAGAGGGTTTTTCTTTTCGGTCAACTGACTTCCCGGGAACGGGATAGTAATATTGGTGCAGACGGGGTTCAAAGTGTGCAGAAACAGCTCAAAATGTACTGGTTTTATGTGCTCTGGGGAAATGATTGTATGGCAAAGGGCACGACCAACGCGTGTTAGTTGTTGCATGGAGGTCTGGAGAGGTCGTTGACAGATGGCAATCCTCAACTGGAGAGCGTAAGTCACTCTAAGCATCACGTAATGACCTCTGCTGTGCTTCTGCACACAGAAAAGTGGAGGTCTGGAGAGCTCGCCAAGAGATGGCAATCCTCAACTGGAAAGCGAAAGTCACTCAGACCTCAACGGCAGGAAAGTGGAAGAGCATATTGGTAAATCGTCTGTTCCAACACTGCCCACAACACCTCCCCAAAGTGGTCCGGCTGTTGCTCTTACGGCTGAACACAAGGTAAGATTTTAGAGGGTGCCGGCACCACTTGCATTGTAACGTATATCAAGCGTGAACCAGCTTTAGCTACCCGCGTGCGTTCATTTGCTGTTACCAGCTTGAGAGTTAATGAATTTGTTCCGTGTGCAGGCTGGAAACCCCACACTTCTGCATCCTTCCCGCATTCCACAACATATTCACGAAGCGCAACACGAGTTGACTGTGGCAGCTGAGGCGGACGAACAACGTCGACTTGCAGCAGTCATATCCCGTGCCCGCTCACGGACAGTATCGCGAGCCGAGGGATGTGCTGATCGAGGCCCTTTTGCAGACCACGCAGACGTCGCACACGCTGCAGCAGAGCAACTGCGCAAGATGGAGCAATCTGCGGGCAAACAGGTGAACGCCGAAAACTCACGGTTTATGTTGCCGTAATTGGCAACCCTAAGGAAGGAGGTTCAGAGTCAGCATGGCATTGTCTAGCTAGTGAGTGCAGTTCCACTTCATGCTGGCTCATCTATAGGATAGTCGGTAAATCCGGTATTCACTTCACAAGACTGCGCCAAGGTCGTCTGCATTGGTTGGGACACGCTGGAAAGTTCGATCACTGACCCAAGAGAAGCTGAGTATTAAACCGGATGCGTGCTGTTCGCTGCCATGCAGGTTGTTGGCCGTCCGTTACATCCCTATCCGGATTCAAAGGCTATAGATGAAGTGGGTATCTGAGCCGTATTTGCAGTACTACAGAGTGTACTATTTTGCATGTGATAGTGCTGGGATGTGCGCACCAAAACATTGTAGGGTGCGGCAGCGTAGATAGCTTTTTCGTTGATCAAATTAAGCACATACCTTTATTGCTCTTTGGAAGTCCTTTCGTTTTTCAAATAAATTATTAAATTCATTGGTATGTTCTAATTACACTATAGTAAGTCGTGAAATTAGCTTGCAAACGCTGTCAAGAATAAGTCTGGAAGGCTAATCCTATGCTGTGTTTTTAGGCTGCCAAGAAGATTCAAGCGGTATGGCGAGGACACAGACTGCGAGTTTGGGTAACTGCTGCGCGTGCTATTGCACATTTTTCCAAACCTGGAGTCCCCCTCTATAAGCAAAATGCGTTTAGGCTAAGTCAGCGCAGAGGTTTGTGTGCAGTACGGCTGCCCCACGATCTGAGTGCAGCGGGTTGCTAACGACAGAATGGTGGTACTTCTCAGGTGGCTGGTACTGCCAGAACGAGTTTGTATTAAGATTTGCCGAACCCTACTTTGTATTGCATAACCTTCCCATAACTCAGTAGAGGCGTTCAGAGAACGATAGTCAAGCAAAACAGTTCTCCGTAGTGTGATATTTTGACATTAGCGTGAAACAAAGCATTCCGCTGTGGTAGGTGCCCTCCCTTATATATACTTTCGGGTGCCGTCAGTGCTTACGTTGTTTGGTCATAAAGACCATTCTAGTCATAACTACTTTGCTTCTAGAATCATTCCACAAATGCACCTCTTAAAAAATAGCCGCTGACCGTTTGGTGTGCGGTTGACCGCTGCGCAGACGGGAGCGTGTGCATCGCCGGTTAGCTCGATTTCCACTCTTCGTTACTCGATGGATGCAAGGACTAATGCAGAAGCACAAAGCTGCTCCGCGTTGCATTTTCGGAATGTGTCAGTGCATTGCACCTCTGCGGGAAACTCACCAACAACAGGTACAATCGAGAAACACCCCAAACAATGGTGCTTAATCTTAGGTAGCCAGTGAACTATAATCATTTGTGAGGCATGAGAGATGGGGGCAAAAGACCCAGTTTCAAAATGATGTTTCGAGCTGACCGCTTGCTGCAGCCGGGAAACGCCTATCTAGTAGATGCAACGCAAGAACACGGTTACGCCGTGACATATCCAAGTTCATGGAAGTCAGCTCGCTACATCCAGGAGGCTTCACCCGGCGAAAGTCTTGGATTTTTCGCAGTTTGTCGTCGATTTCCTCCAGTCTAGCCCCTTGTACGCATGATGGCAAACATACAGTACTATTGCGTGCTGCACCCGCAAGGTCCTCTATGAGCTTTTAATCGTCTGTCACACCACAAGTAGCTCCTTGAAGATTAAATGTCACTGGCAGAAGCATCATTCACCAAGAGAGGGGTCTTGGGGGGTCTTTAACCTTCAGACTTTCGACATTGTGCTCTGATGTGTAGGCGAGTGCTCTTCCGGATCCCTGGTGCTCTTTTCTCCTGTAGTTTCACCCAAGGAAGGCGCCAGTTCAGACGTGTCGAACAGTCCAGCAAAGTGTGCCACTGCTGAAGCAGTGAAAGAGCCGATGTCACCTGCAATCAGACGTCTTACGCAATCTGCAGCTTATCCCCGAGGTGTCGAGGAGAGGACACACACTAAGCGCACACACACGTCGATCCCAAGAGGAGCATCTACAATCGGCACAGTTGGGCTAGGAATCCCAGATAACGGATTCGGCGGCCCTGGAGAGGAGCCCCTTCATTTGCGTGAATCAATTGCAAGTGAACCATTTCGGGAACGCCTAGAAAGCATAGCTGCCACAATGTCACGCGTTTCAAGGAGTGAAGTCCATCACTTCAGTCCTGTCCCTAATTCGTCTGACCCGAGTAGTAACTCAGGTAAGACGACAAGCTAAAGGAAATGGGGGCACTTGCGCTTACAGCGTAGCCATTTCCCCCTACCTATTTCATGCCGTCCGAATGCATGTGGTGCTAATTTCTTGCAGAGACTCCCTGTACAGTTCTTCCTATCGCAAGCACAGTGCGACAGACCTCGCCAGAGGTAAAAGTGGATATGGAAACGGGAGAAGATGCCGCTGTTTCCCAAGCAAGCCACGTCTCAAGTGGGAGTGAGACAAACGGTTTGCATGCAACCAATGACCCCACACAATATCAAGGGCTAAACAGAGATTCAACGCAGCAGAGCAGCGACCACGCTTCGCCTGCCACAACGCTTAATATGCCACGCCTTAATTTTTTTTGGCTCAAGAAGGAGCCACCTCGCACGACATGTCTACCTCATGACAGGGATTTTTCGAGCGAGAGCAGTGAAGATTTTGGTTTCAGGCAAGAAGGAAATGCCCTCCACGGCACTCCAGTGGATGAACGCTGCCGTGAGGTTATCAATGACTTAACACAGACCCAATCAGGGGATATTGAAGGTACCAGGATTGCCATCAGCAACAGAACAAGCTCACCATCTCTTTCAGAGAGTCCAAATGACTCTGCCCAAGCGTCCGAGGGAAACAGCCTAAGCATTGCTGCAAGACTTCAACAAGACCCGCTGGTTTTGCCGAGCCTGAGCAGTGATAAGGAATTGCAGAGCGACGCAGAACTCTCTCCATTGTCGCAGGCATTACATTTTCTTCAGTCCAGTCACGCACAACATACATCTTCCCAACCAAATGTTCCTCCACCCTATTCCAAGGCACAACTTCCAAGGATTCCGAAGCCTACAACTGTTGCTAGGCTCGATGTACGCGTACACCCCGAAGATCCGGCACAAGCTTACAAACAAAGCTCTTCACCTACACCAACACCACCAATAGAGCAAACGACAGCAGCAGATAAAAGGGCAAGTTCCGCAACCTTGCCAATCATGGCCTGCGAAGCCGTTCAATCCGAAACTGGGGACACAAGCAAGCTGAAGGCTTTAGAGGGTGTGAGCAAGGCGAAGACAGCAGGGCCTCCTCCTGCACGACCGCCACCCAAAGCTACTGCACCACAAACATCCGACACTGCAAGTA